TACCTCTTCAGACACTATCATAATTTTTTTATAGATCAATGAAAATCATATGTAGATCCTTTCTTTTTTCTCTATATTTCTCCATCAACCGTCTCAAAATATGTATGGTTCCACCGTTGATCTTTCAAGCATAAAACCGAATTGATTTTCAAGTACTTGTCTCTTTTCTTAGTCTTTACTCAATTACCGTCTCCCTAAGTTTCATACTATGTCTCATGAGTTTAATATCATGATAGTTTAAATAACTTTGCATATTTCCTTTATTCTTGTATATTGGTATCAACATACTAATCCTCCACTCATTGGGCATTCTCTTTGTCTCAATAATCTTATCAAATAATTTCGTCAACTATCCTAATCCTATATCTCCAAGACATTTCTAAACTTCATTAGTGATATTGTCCGGTCCATTGGCTCTTCCACTTCTTATTTTCTTTAGAGCATCTTTGATCTCATTGATCCTAATTTTTTAACAATATCTATAGTTTCTATCATTCACTACATGATCAAATTCTTTATGTTGCTCACCTATTTGGTTATCATTAAACAATTTATGAAAGTAACTCCTCCACCTCTCTTATATTTCCCCGTCGGTTACTAGAAATATTTGATCTTCACTCTTAATACACCTAATATGTCTTTTTCCCTCTTATATTACCAAAGACCCTAGTGTCCACTTGGAGTAAAACCAAGGCACGAAGCTAAGTCATCTCAATCCGGTCGTCACCAACTCCAAGCCCTTAGCCTCATATTCATGAATAAACCCAAGGCACATACTAAAGACCTCGGTATCTACTCTGAGTAAAATGAAGGCACAAAGCAGAGTCATCTCAATGCGGTCATCGCCAACTCTAAGCCCTTAGTGTCATATTCATGAATGAACTCAATGCACATACTAAAGATCTTGGTATCCACACAGAGTAAAACCAAGGCACAAATCGAGTCATCTCAATTCGGTCATTGCGAACTCTAAGCCCTTTGTATCCACTCTAAATAAACCCAAGGCTTGAAATCATGTTAAACTACTTACTCAGAATAGTTAAAGTATTCTCACAGACTCACACATCACAATATAAATGCATGGATAAGATCAACAAAAGGAAATCTCTTTTATTCATATGTCAAAAGTGATATTTACAATACATCAAAAGTATCTACACTAAAAAAATGGATACATCAAAGCTCCTAAGGAGCAGAACCAGGAGCCAGAGCCGAAGTTGAACTCAAGGTAGAGCTTGAGTAGAACTAGAAGTCGAAGCAGGATTCGGAGCTGGAACAGCAGAACTCGTAGGAGTTGGTAGAAGAAACAACAAGGGGTCCCACGCGATGTTATGGTCATCACCCTCATCCGGTTGACTCACCCAATTGGCACCATCGGAGCCTCCTTTAGAATTCTCGTCATCCTCATCCCCGTTCTCACACTCCAGCGTGAGCTCGCCTTCTCTCCGCTCAATCTCCTTTAGAGTGTTAAGGCAGTCATTCACACGAGGATGGTAATTGAACCGCTGGGGATGAGACTTGAGTTTGGACGGGACCTGCTTCATTAAATAGTCGAACCCGACCTTGCAAGTCAAAGCCACATCCACCTTCCCAAGAGTGTCATTGTGATAGTTCCGGACAACCTTGAACTGGTAAGCTTTAGACCAAGTGCTTAAGGCAACCCTGCAATGCCTGTGTCTCGGAAAGAAGTGACTTGCGCTTGCTTGGCTTCCAGAGCGACCCGAATGGCCTCCTGCCTTAACCTTTCTTGCACGGTCTCCTCCTCCTTTAGTCAAGTCTTCATCTCCTCGACATCCAGGTGTGCTAGTCGAGCCCGCTTGTAGGCATCATTCCTCTCCCAGGTCTCAACCTCCACCTCCTCCTTCAGATACTTCACCTTGTCACCAAGATGATAGAGTTCCTCCGGAAGCTTCTGGACCTCCCGATGGGCCTCGGAATGTTGGGCTGACTGTTGGCTACACGATGCAAGTAGATTGAACTTTTGGTCCCGCATTTCCACCACTCATATGCATCATTCCTCAGCACTACGAGCTCATTCTCCTTTGTTGCCGCCCTCATGTTGACGGCCTTCCGAGCAGACCTTTGGGCCTCCATCTCCTCTCATAGCTTGAAGAAGAGCCCCTACGCATGCACAAACTGGACGTATAGTTCATGCTTCACGAAAGCTCCCCTAAGTAGCTTTTAAGCATCTGGTGGAGATTGAAATTCGGCATCTCGACAAGGATTTTGTCATCATAGGGTAGCAAAAACTACTCCAATGCCCTGGCCTCGATGGCACTAGACTCCAAAACCAATCCCCTCTTATCAAGCTGACGCCTCGGGACGAACTAGTTCTCCTCCGACAGCTACCTGTCATACTGACCCGGGTGCAGCTTTGCTTGCTATTTAGAGAGAGGTCTCCCCCGACTGCTGAGTCATCACCTCTTCCCCTTGCTCAGGAATGGTTGCGCTTGCCTCTCCTTCAACCCTTACTTTCTTCGAGGGCTCGGAACCCCTTGATGGCCCCTGACTTTTCACCTTCCTCCTCCTTTTCTTCTCTAACCTCTCCATCTGAGCTATAGTCAGATTTGAACCCGCCAATCGAGTCGTTATCTTGACTACAGTGGCCTTAATCTGCTCGGCATCCTCCGAGCCTGATCTACTCTGAGGTGCTTTTGGGGCCTTGCCGAAGGCCCAGCTTGAGAGGGGAGAGGCCTCAGCTCCCTCCTTCGCAATGTCAGAAGAGCAGCGCGAGCCTTGTTTTCTTTGGTTGGAGTGCTGGAGATATTGATAACTAGCAGCACCGAGTTGTCAAGAAGTTTCTTGCTGCGACGAGACCCTATATAGGCCTGGATCTTATCCAACCCGCACCTCTCCAACTCTGGAAAAATGCCTACCTTCAGAGCATCCTTCTTTATCTCTAACCAGGTGGAGCAAGCTAGAAGGGCAGGCAACAAGGATAAAGAAGACCCGATTTTTTCACCTCTTGCTGGATTCGGAAGCGTTGGAGACCAACTTGAGACCCCCCATTGTCTGTAGATAATAACGACCCTTATTCTTAACCACTTTGGCGCAGACCAGGTGGCAAAGGATCCTTAGCGTGGGATCTACACCCACTCGGTGGCAAATGACGATAAAGCTGATGAGCATGGCAACGGAATTCATCTTCAGCTGCGACAGTGAGACTCCTAGGACCTCAAAAACTTATCGAAGAAAAAGGTGAAGCAAAAAAGCACAGATCAAACTCCAAATTGTGAAAATAAACCGGAGCAATGTTCCTGCTATGGTGATGGACAGGTTGATCCTTCGACGGTGCCGACAGAGTGAACGCCAAAGGGATGTCAAACTGATCGTAGCAGGTCTCAAGAAGCGATGGGAGAACCTTAGAATGGAACTCGTGAAGCAAAGGGATCCTAGTTTTGTTAAGAGCGGGAACACTTGATGCAGAAGAAGCCATTGTTTCCAGCGATAGAAATCGAAGCAAATTGAGGGAGATGATCAGAAATTGTGCAAGCACAACAGGCAAAACACTAGGGCTTGAAGAATAATAGGCCAAATTACTAGAAAATTAGGCATATATAGGTGAGGGAGGGGACATATGGCATGATCTGAACAATGGACTCGGCTATCGAAGGACAGCCGAAAAGGCACACGGAATTCAATGCGACCGCTCGGTAATTTGAAGTGGTGCCAAAAAGCCACACAGAATTCGAAGCGGTGCCTCCAGTAACCGATGCACAATCTCCTTTGACATCATAATGTCGCTTTAACAGTGACTCATCAATGCCTCATCATTAAATACGCTTTAGATTCCTAGGAGATGATTTGAATTTCATTCGAAACTGACAACCCGGGTTCAAGCGGAAGGGGCTAATGCTGTATCGCAGAAATTACTTAGTGTAAACTACTTTTGAGAAGGCGACACATGTCTCAATTATCTAAATTTAAGCATCATAACACTAACCCGACCCGCATCTCACAAACGCTGGATCCCCTCCTTAATACACCTCGAGGTCCGAGATGAAAGGCGTCCTCATTTGAACTCTCTCGAAGGACCAATGCGAAAGGCGTCCTCAGTTGGACTCTCTCGAAGGACTGAGATCAAAGGCGTCCTGACTCGGACTCACTCGAAGACCAAGACGAAAGGCATCTCAACTCGGACCTGACGACGCATCTTGAACCACGGGAGAATCCATCTTCTTCGTCTTCCCCAGTGATATCAGCTAGTCACCATCGCATAAAATGCATGGTCAGAACCATCATTAATTCCCCAACAAAAGTCATAATGACTCATCAAACCACGCCAGCATTTTAGTCATTCTATCGCCTCTGTATTAAACGCAAGGATGACCCGGATCACCAGCCGCTAACGCACGTGAAGTGTCGGCTGACTAAGCAGATTGCATGGACCCCGCTGAAATTACTCAAATACCCTTTTTGGCTCACTAGAAATATGTAGATTGTCTTCTGCATGGAGGTATACTGTTCTCTACAACTAAAACCCTAAAAAATATTTCTTCCAGATATTTCTCTCCCTTAAGATCGTCACTAACGTGATCGTCGGAGGAATCACCGGAGAACTCAACTCCGACCCTCTAATGTTTCGTATGTGCAGGAAATTGTCTTCTGCTCAGAGCAATCAGCTATCAAAGAGGATTGAGTGACTCTAAGCTCTCCTAAATCCACTCTGACCCCCTCAATTAAGTTTCTGACATAAACATCTTCCAATTTGGCTCTCACAGTTATGGGTTCAACTCTAGGCGGGGATATCAAAATCAATAAATAAACAAATGGGGGTTTATGTATCTCTAGAGCTTCTTTCTTGCATGTGTTGTTTATTTAAATACTTCGAAAGGCCATAAAATATAAGACAGATGTAAACAAATTGGTTGGTGAACTAATTCCAGCAGTAGAAAATCTCTCGATATTAGTCATAAAGATTACAACAGCTTCAGTATTTGAGATACGCTAAAATCAGGAGAGAATGCTGGAGAACTATTAAGATGTACTTTAAATTCTACCTGGTAAAATGGAAGAATCTTGGTGCTTTTGTGCCCATGAAAATCTGCAATTAGAGGTGATTAATTTTCAATATTAGTGAAATAAAACAGGCCATAGAAACTTCATTTCAGTCAGCACTCTGTAGACATAAAGATAGACTCAAACGATCAGTTTCAAATCTCATGCACAAACATGCACATACACATGCAAAGCATCAACTGTATGCAAGTATAGAGGAGTAGATATATTAGCTCCTCAAATCTTCAATAATTCCATATTAGTCCCTCAAATCCTAGGGTCCTGCAAAATGGTCCCTTTGTTACTTTTACAAATAAAATTGTAAACCATGATTAACTCCTAAGCCAACACCCTCAATTACCAAACTACCCCTCTTCATACCATTAGGAAGCTCAATAATGAATTAGGGGTGCTTTTCCCACTCTCGGAGAAGACGACTTTAGTGGGCTTGGGTTTTATTAATCGGGTATAAGGTTTATACACATTAGAGATGGGTGGGGTAACTTAACAGAAGGGCGAAATGGAAACTCCCATTCAGACAGAATTGAGGGCCTACTCCCCTCAATTCTAATGTAAGATATCTAAAGGGACAATATTGCAAGACCCCATACGATTTGGGACTAAAAGCAAAGATTTAAGGGATTTATATGGAATGTTTTTATGATTTGAGGGAGTACTATGTAAAAAAAACCCAAAAATAATACTAAAAACCAAAAACCAAGGTAACACTTCACATGGTCTTGCATGGAACAAGATAAGGTCCGGAATTGATATAAGTCAAGCTGTGAACTGGTCACACAGAACTAGCCAAACTGACTAAGTTGCTCGGAAACAGGTGTATTGATGCATATGTGCGTGCGGGACACAACAAATCTATAAAATGAAGGGTATGGAGACACACACACACATATATGTGTATATATCTACACACACACAAACACATAAATACATATATACATATATGTAATATACACACACACATGTATATGTATATACAAGTATGCATGTATGTGTGTGTATTGACATCAATAATTTACATGAGATCATTTTTATTTAAGTTTCTTCATGTGCTATTTAGACTTAAATTCCCATCATATTTTTAAGTTTCTTTTTATCATGTTGATTATTATAAATTAAAAACTACTCATTTTTTAATTAGACGCTTAGTCACCCTTTTAAATCATAGTTTTTAACTTGGATACAGGCTGAAACAAGCCCGATTTATGTCTAACGAGTTGCATAAAATGAACATGAAGTGTAGGATATATGTCCAAAAAGTGTATGACAAATGTTTTTAATTAAAACATACATCATACAATTGAGTACATGTCTAAATAAATGCATGCATATGTCCAAGGACTATCCATGAAGTTTGGGTAGGGGGACGTACATGTCCCGTTCGGGTACGGCTTCAAAATTGAAGTACACAAGTAACTGACCTAGCATAGATATGAAAAGTATAGCAATATAAGAGATGTAAGACTACAACCCGAAACCAAATTTCCTTGACCTTGATAGTCTTCTTTAGGTTTCCATAAATAAATTTGGAAGTTGGAATGTTGCATGTAATGAAAAGTAATTATTTTTTACAGTAAACACCTCCATATGCCTAAGCAAGCAAGCTTGGAAGTTCAAGAGAGACAAATGCTTGATTGATTATGTATAATGCTCGGTCAACTATGTTGGTTGAAGAATTCTATCTTTACAACTTCTTACATATGTTTCCCTATAGAAAAGAACATATGTTAAGTTCTAAGCAAGATGAATGGGAAGTGAGTTAAGTGAGGATCTCCTTAAATGGGAGATAAATAACACAAAACTTGCCTTCATGTCCAAATTACCTTAGCTTCTGTGTGTGTGCGTACGTATGAGATATCTGTTTCTATGACCATTAACTTTGACAGTGCTACTACTAAGTAATACCAAGCTTTTCAGCAAATACAATGTTCAAAGGAAGCAACTTTAGCCATCAGAAGAATACTTTGTGTAGTTTAATACTGATTACTGACAAACTAGTGTAAACAATCCTCGCTCTGAACATAGTAAACTAAGACCGAGAAGAAATCCGAATAAATTTGTTTCTAAAAAGCAAACAATTCATATTAAAAACCTCAAACAAGAGAAATTTCACAAGAGTATCAAAGTCTAAACATATGCATTATGTACTTCCTCTTGAAATACTCACATGACACCTGCAACAGCTGGGGCAATAGCTCTGGAAATAGACATCCCAGTTATCGCGATACCATTTGCTGCTCCCCTTTGGTGCTGCGGCTGTTGTTTTTAACAAGGATTATTTTCAGTGAATAACTATTATGCGACGTGGCTGAAATCATTGCTAGTTAAAAATTATCTATCATATAAACTAATGTATATAGACAATTACCACAGCATTGTTTTGCAAGATGAACATTCCAGTAACAATAATCATCTGCGTAGAAAAGAGCACGTGCCTTAGACAAGGAAGGAGCTAGCTTGAATCATCAGGTTTTTCTTCAATTAGCATTTCTATACGTATATTACTGTAGTACAGAGAGAAACAAATTTCCAGGCCAAAAAATACGTATTCAATGGCTTAAGGTTTTATACTATGGAAGTGTATATGCACTTATAGAAATCAATATTTTATGCAAATATGTTAGCCTTTAGTTATGTTATATAATTATGCAAGGGTAGAAAAAAGCATGTGTGACTTGAACTATTTACAATGATGAAGTTTTTTACTGTATATTTGCCCAGGTAAGTAGGAGCATGTCTTTAAAATGAATCGAGTATCTATAAATTCTACATTACAAGAGTATTGATAAATTCTACATTGCATTAACCTGTGCAGAGTTAGAGATAGTGATTTTCACACTTCAAAGACAATTTGCTACAAATATAAACATGCATTTCCTGTAAAAACCAATCAGCTGAATTACTTTCACCATGTTCAACAAAACTATGAGCAAATTTGTACTCACAGAGAGAACATTTTTTATCAAGGATGCAGAATTCACTGCTACTGAAAGTACAATTCCTGACAGCTTAGTCATAAAGGGATAACTGGCAAGTAATGGTATAGCTATAACCTGCATATTGAAAGCATGGGATATCATGTAAAGAACCCAAACGTTGAATAAAACATCAAAGGCTGAATAGAGGCGAAAATGGATGTATACCGCTGCAATACGGGCTAAATTTATGGGCCCAAGGAGTCTCTCTGCTTGTGGATAAAGAAACAGTTGAAATAATAGAAGACTGAAACCTACAAGCCAGTATTTAAGCATTAGAAGTTATTATAAATAGGTCAAGACTTATTAAAATGCATTGTGCCATAAATCAAGGAACTGATAAAAAGGTCTATAGCAAATGTAAGAGACAACAAGATAAATGTATAAATTAATATCATATCAACTATAACTAAACTTACACCACTTTGTTGTGAAATATCTAGAGTGCCAGATTCACTTATCTTTATTCAACAAACTGTATTCTAATGTCATAGTAAGCGCTAGGTGCCGATCCGATGCCTAGAGACTGGGCACGGCCTAGGCAAATTTATTTCTTTTTCTTTCTTTCTTTTTTTTTTGTTGAACTGGAGGCAGAGGAGATTGTGCTAAAGGTTGGAGGAGGTGTTTGAGTCGGTGGAGGCCAAGGAGGTAGCAAGACGTGAAGGCAACAACGGAGGAAATCAGACAACCACCTAAGCTTTACAGTCTGCATAACAATCCATGCTCCCTAGGCACTCCTAAGACCGAGGCATGTAGCCTAAGTACTAACTAGTCCTAGGCGGGAGCCTAGACTGCTCTTTAAAACTATGTTGTATTCTAACTAAAACTCCAAGTTCCATAGAAAAATTTCTAAAGGCCTGTGACCATTGTAAGGTCTCATTCCCACTATACTATTCATTGTTTTAAAAAACCTCCGCCTAGTCCGCTTAGGCGTACGCCTAGGCCTAGGTAGTACCTAGGCTGCCTAACTAGCGTCTAACGCCTAGGCGGTATTTAGGCTGCCCACCTGGATTTTACGAGCGTTTAGGGGAGCATTGTCTGCTTACGTGGAATCCGTGGATTGCACCCTATAGGACTTCATTGTGATTTTATGTGTCGTAGCCTACACGTCCTCCAAACTCCATTAACCTATAAGTTAACAGTAATTTGAGTTTATTGTTAACTTAAACTTAACAATAACAAACTCCATTAACCTATAAGTTAACAGTAATTTGAGTTTATTGTTAACTTAAACTTAACAATAACTTATAAGTTAACAGTAATTTGAGTTTAACTTAAACTTAACAATAACTTATAAGTTAACAGTAATTTGAGTTGAGAATGAGTTTTTCACTGTTGATATGAACTTATAATTTGAGTTGAGAAGTATAAACATACAAAGAGCTATTATAATTGATAAACCAAGCAATTTAGTTAACAGTGTTGATATTTTAGTATTTATGCATCTTTGATTGGGTATATATATATAAACCAAGCAATTTAGTTAACAGTGTTGATATTTTAGTATTTATGCATCTTTGATTGGGTATATATATTTATCTTCAAGTATCACGTTAACAGTGTTGATATTTTAGTATTTATGCATCTTTGATTGGGTATATATATTTATCTTCAAGTATCATAATTAAAAAAATAAAAAATAAAAAAACGCCTAGAAACCGCTTAGGCGCCCGCCTAGGCGACTAAGCGTTGGGCGCCAAGTCTGACGCCTAGAAGCGCCCAGCGTTTAATGTAACATTGATACTATTGCTTTACGCTATATCTCAAATTTAATTGATTGAAACATTGGGCCATCATACTCCTCATTCCCACTTGATTGCTTACTCACTAGATGAGTGGATGAGAAATAGTCACTTCACTACCAAGGATACGTATATTCCTCTCTCTATGCATATATGCATCTTTGTGTATGCATCTGCATGTGTGTGCATGCGCGCATGAGCGTCTATGTGTGTGCATGCATGGACAAATCCCCTGTAGCTGTATCACGTGATACTAATTAGGATCCATGTAGGGATTTTGCCACAAGCACCGCCTCCATACTTCTCCTCTTCAGCTTTGACAACTTTAGTTTTGGCATCACCCATTCCTGTATCTTCATCAAAAATCCTAACTTCATTAAGAAAATGTTCATCATCATTAGTGTTCATTGCATGAACAATAAAGGAACGTCTTGTTCAATTTGTGAGCAGTAATAAACTGTGTTCATTGTGAACAGTAACCAATATCTACAATTCATCGTGAACATTGAACCTCGTTGCTTCAGGTGATTGCCTATAATTATACTAGTACTCTTCTTGTAGTTGATTCCAGCGCTGCTGCTTTGGGCTAAAATCCATCAAGGGATGCTTCTGGCTAAAACCCACCTGGGGTTTCTTCTAGCCTTAAAATAGGTTTCTAAACCTTGATTCATATATCACTAGCCTCCTATTATTGGCTAAATGTAATGTTTATTGATCACAGATATGAAGATTTGCTTGTGATTTCTGACTAATTTTATTTTGGCTCTTGTCTTGTGCGTGGCTGCTCTAAGCTGTGACAGACCTTTCATGAATGTTGCTACACTGTGAGATCTGTAGTTCTCACTACTTCAAGTGAAGCAAACTGTTGACATATTAGTATTAGTTAGGGACTTATTTGTAAGTTGTGTAGGGGCCTATATAAGCCCAAGAGATCTCATAATAAGATTAGGGTTTCTATTTCAACTTGGTATCAGAGCCACCTCCAAACCCTAGCCGCCGCCACCCCACCCCACCCCCTCCTCACACCCCCATCGCCCAAAACAGCCTCTGATCTCCACCTCCAAACCCTTTTCTAGCCGCTGCCACCTCAAGCCCCCCTGCTGCGCTATGTCGAACCTCGAGTTTGACATGAATTCCCTCGACTCAGTCCTCAAACTGATGACAGGAAGAGTATATATCTCACGGCGATGAGATATATCATTGTTTTTTATTCTTGTTTCCTCTGAGAAACGAGAGTTTGTCTGAGATCTTACTCTTGTTAGCAGAGGTGCTGCCGAAATTTTCACTGCACACAACAAGGGTCAGAAGAGACGGTGACCAAGTGTTAGGTCTGAAGCTTGATCAATGGAGGAATTTATCAAGAAGTTGAACCCCGCGGAGGTGTCAACTTTGATGAAGCTGATGAAGTTGTCGGCTGGTGAGAGCGCGACAAAACCATCCAAGAAGTTGGAACTTCCTACCATAGATCTGAAGCTTGATGGACCGGGTACTTACCTGAGCTGGTCACGGACTTCCTACCATAGATCTGAAGCTTGATGGACCGGGTACTTACCTGAGCTGGTCACGGCGGGTGAGATATACTCTTGCAGGGAGGAACCTGAAGGGTTATCTGACAGGAGAGGTGACAGAGCCGGATGAGGACTCGGATGGTAGAGATGAGTGGAAGGCTACTCATATGTTGGTATACATCTGGCTTCTCAACTCGTTGGTCCCGACGATCGCCGCCACAGTGGATGGCATTGAGAAGGTGAAGGACGTCTGGGAGAAGTTGAGGAGGACATATGATGGAGTGGGGAATAACCTGAGGGTATTCCAGATTAAAGGAGAGATCGACACCACAGTCCAGGGAGAGAGAACTGTACAGAAATATGCTACAGAGTTGGAGCGCCTGTGGCTGGATTATGATCATTTTTCCTCCCGGGCTAGCTGCAAGGACCCGGGATGTAAAGAGCGGGAGGCCTTTCTACAGGAGAGGATTATGGTGTATCTCAAAGGATTGACATCAGAGTTCGCTCAGCGAATCGCATTGCTGCTAGCTCAACCAAAGATTCCCACGCTTGAGGAGGTTGTTGTTTTCGGTAAAAGTTGCCTTCATTACTGAACTCATTATAATATTAGTGTTTACAAAGAATTCAGATCTTAATCAAAAGAAAAGAAGAAAAATTACAACTTTCTCGAAAATAACACAAGATCCGTTCGTCGTCTCTTGCTTGCGTGAGTCCTTAGTCTGTGACGGGGATGTTGATATCCGTGGACTACCTGGCAATCAGATCAGGTCCAGAGCTTCGTCGATCCGCGAGGAGATCTAGAAACAGAAGCGCTTATCTCGACAAAAGCGAGATAATTGCTCTTCTTAGAATTACCACAACGGGATAATACTAAGGATTGGATGCGGGTGATGTAGATCTGACGACTCTCGATCTCTTGCGTTGAAGAACTCGATCACTCTTCAGTCCGGCAGGGCTTCGCCAATTCTCCAAAATTCCAGATCTGAAAAAAAATGAGGCCTAAGGCTTGTATTTATAGGCTTGAGGGGATAACGGAGCGGTTAAAAACACTTAAAAGCCCAAATCTGCCTTGGAGACATCCCAGGGTGTCTCCATTTGATCGGAGACACCATAGGGTGTCTCCCATTGATCGGAGACACCCTAGGGTGTCTCGGTTTGGGCCGAGACACCCAAGGGTGTCTCGGCCTTGGCCGAGACACCGAAGGGTGTCTCGTTAGTCCGAGACACTCCATATGGTGTATTTATCTGTTTCTACTGTAATTCATTCGTCCGAACTCGGATTTGAGTGATTCGAAGTGTGTTGGAAAGCCGACAAGGAGTTCTATCAGCTCCGATGGTTGGATCATCTGTAGAATGAATGAGACACGAAGGACATTGTTCTTTTTGTAAATATCGCGGGGCTCCCGATTAGCCCGTACATTCGTTAGTTCACGTAGTTCGTCGATTTACTTCAAGCGTTCATCGATATCAATCGAACTCCTGTGAACCAGATAGTGACGTTCATCGTCGTTCCTTAATACTGAGCCGTTCGTGGAGACCTATAGGCAATTTTCAATGCCTACAGATACCCCATCCAAAGCGTTCCGGACTCGTTTCTTTTATAGAAGAGGCTGGGATACTTTTGATGTAATTGGTCCAGCCTTCAGTCGGTGTAAAGGACCTGTAGTTAGCTTCAACTCTTGGCTCCTTCGATTTTCGATCTATTCAATGCTTTGACGAATAGCCGAAGTCCTTCCGGCGCTGCGTTTATCGCCTGGCCGTCGTCGGAGTCTCGAGTCTGCCACCAGTGAGTTGAGTTTGGCTCGTGTCATTGAGTTGACTTTGAACTGACTATCTCTGTCACATTGTGCTGACTTAGGGTTTTAGATCACCGTATGTTGACTTTTTGTCCCAACGCGTTGATTGGCGTTGACCTAGGGTTACGCGTTGACCGGCGTTGTACGCACCTATACGAACCACCATGTATGGGCTCTCGGTCAGCTGTCGCCATTTCTTAGCATTGTT